ACCAAAGAGCCTTATGCACAAGCCATGGCTGAATGCCCCACAGAAAGCGAAACTGGCCAGAAGCTGCTGTGTGGGTTCACTGAGGGAGAGGTGGTCTTTCACATACAAGGACTCCAGGTTGTGAAGGGCTTTCAAGGTCAAGAGCAGTACTGTTTTAACCCACAACCACACGGTCAAGCAATGCCAAGATCTTTAAAATGGAGAAAGTGATCTCAGCGGCGGGTGATGCTGTTACTTGCGCAAACTGGGGTTTGGGGCTGAGGTAAGAGTTGAACCCAAAGCCAGCAAAGTTACATCTCACATTCTTACAAAGTTCCTACCACATACCACTTATTCTCTGAATTCCTAGTGTTTCCACATCACTGTTTTCTGGGGAGTTAGTGTTTCATCGCTGCTGCTTAAATGGGGAAAGCCCTCATTTCCCCCACTATTGCAAATGTTGCGTTGAGTTTGGAGTGGTAGCTTAAATCTGTGTAGATGATGACAGTTTGCCATTTGACTGTTCGGTTTGGGCCTTTAAACATTACCAAGAAGCCAAGGGGAAGGGGTGTGAGGTAGCTGTTTTCATAATGTCTACTTTGGGCCTTAGTGATAAACCACCAACTTCTATCCTCACCTGTTTCAGATAAGAACATAAGAGCCCTGCTGCATCTAGTCCAGCCTCCTGTGTCACACAGCGGCCAACCAGTTCCTCTGGAGGTAGGGTTGCCAAATCCTTTTCGTCTCGCGGCGGGGGGCTCTTGGACGGCGTCTCGCGGCGGGGGGCTCTTGGACGGCGTCTCCTGCGCGCGCGTGCCGCATGCACATCACCTGGATGTGACGTGATGACGCCGGGCATGCTGGGGGTGGGGCCACAGCCATTTGAGGGGAAAACTCTATGTTTTCCCCTCAAATGGCTGTGGCCCCGCCTCCAGCGTGCCCGGCGTCATCACGTCACATCCGGTGACGTGCACGCCGCGGTGGGGTTTCCCCTGGGGCCCGATTCCGCGGCGGCAGAAATCGGGCCTCCAAAGCGGGGGGAAATCCGCCCCCCGGGGGGAATTGGCAGCCCTATCTGGAGGGCCGATGAGGGCAATAGAGGCTGAGGCCTTCTCCTAATGTTGCCTCCTGGCTCTGGGATTCAGAGGTTGACTGCCTCTGAACGTGGAGGTTCCCCTCAGTCACGATGACTAGTAGCCACTGATAGACCTGGCTAGTAGGCACTGATAGTCCCCTCTTAAAGCTGTCTGTGCCTGTGGCCATCACTACATCCTCTGGCAATGAATTCTACATTTTAATCACTCTCTGTGTAAAGGAGTATTTCCTTTTGGCCGTCCTGAACCTACTGCCCAACAGCTTCATTGGATGTCCTTGAATTCAAGTATTTTGGGAGAGGAACAAAAATTTCTTTTTGCCAACTTCCCCCCCATGCCTAATCTTATAAACCTCGATCGGGTTCCCCCTCAGTTGTCTCTTTTCTGAACTGAAAAGTCAGTGTTCCCTCTATACACTCCACAGCGTTGTGAGCAGAAATTCTAGCTTGTGAGTGAAAAAGCTAGTAGCATTAAAGGTGTGAGCGAGTCTACATTTGACGATTGCGTAAGTTATTTGTTAAGATTATTTCCATCACCTTGTAAAAACCTCAGAATGAATCCTTTTAAACTATGGTATATTCTGGTAAAAAGGTAAAGGTAAAGGTTCCCTTGCTTGAAAGCCAGTCGAATCCGACTCTAGGGTTGCGGTGCTCATCTCCGTTTCAAAGCCGAAGAGCCAGCGCTGTCCGAAGACATTTCCATGCTCATGTGGCCAGCATGACTAAACACCAAGGCTCATGGAACGCTGTTACCTTCCCACTGAAGTGGTACCTACTTATCTACTTGCAATTTCTTGCTTTCGAACTGCTAGATTGGCAGGGGCTGGAACTAGAGACGGGAGCTCACTCCGTCATGTTAAATTTTGTATTTTAGCTTGCTGGTTTTTGTAAGCTGAATTAAAAATTTATATTAAAAATGAATTCTTTTAAACTATATTTAAACTATACTTTAAGAATAATTTAAACATCATAAGAGAAAACAGAATCAAGTCAAATTTCATTACCAAAAGTTTTTCTATAGGGGTAGTCCAGGCCTCCGGAGAACAGGTCTCCCTGCCCCTTGCCACTATATTGGTATTTATTTATTTATTTGGATTTAGATTAGAGGGAACTGTGCCAGACTCTTCAGCCTTTCCTCACAGAGGAGGTGCTCTGAGATAGCACAGTTAGCAAATAACACTGCCAGGATGGACTAGGGACATATATAACTACCACCCCCAAGTAGAGCTCATGACAGTTTACAGCGGTTCCACGGCCACTGATATTATCTTCACACGAACCCTGTGAGTTGGGCTGTTTCAAGGTCCCTAAGAGAACTTCACAGCTGAGTGAGGATTTGAACTTAGTTCTTCGCTGGCCATCTCTCATTCTCCATTCATCCCATCATGCTGGGCTTTATACAAGATTAGTGGAAGCATGCTTTTAGCACCCAAGTTTCCACAGAACAAGAAGTACCTCTGACTGGGCCAGCCCTCTGGTACATTACCTGCACCAACCTCCAAGGAGCTCAGGGTGGCGTACAAGGCCCTCCTTTCCCCATTTTATCCTCACAACAACCTTGTGAGGTAAGTGAGGCTGCGTGAGAGAGACTATGGCCGTGATCACATGGGCAGTTTGGCCCGACGCGGCCACTCCTCCCCTCCGGATCAAATGGGCGCCGTCAGACAGCCACATCTGTCAGGCGTTCCCCAGCCATACTTATCCTATCACAAGGCGACTTGGAGCTGGGTTAAAAAAGGCACCACATCATAAGTGGTGTTTTTGATTCCCCGCGAAGTAATTGCGCATGGCCGGATGTCTGAACGCGGGGGAGCGTGCGCAGAACAGATTTGGCAGTCTGAACCTGCTGATCCATTCTGCTGCTGGGGAGGCTTTTAAAAAAAGCCTATATACACGTGCCTGCATGCGCATGTGAGCACGCATGTAATATGGCCTGGGTCCAGCCTACCTGAGGGACCGCCTTTCCCCGTATGTTCCCCCAAGAGCGCTACGGTCGGGGGCCCAGAATCTTCTAACTGTGCCGGGCCCCAAGGACGCTAGGTTGGCCGTCACAAGGGCTAGGGCCTTCTCAGTGGCGGCCCCCACCTGGTGGAACGAGCTCCCGGAGGAGATCCGGGCCCTGCGGGACCTGGTGCAGTTCCGCAGGGCCTGCAAGACGGAGCTCTTCCACCAGGCTTTCGATTAGGGGCCGCCACTGCCCCCCCCCCGGATATATACCATCTTTGGGGGGGGACTAAGGCTCAGGAGGCCAGGTAGAAACATCTGGTAACATCTAAAATATTACCAATGCCTACTGGAAATGTTTGGGCTGTGCTAGGGCGGGGGTCGCCCTCTCTGAGACTTTGAGATTCTGAGATTCCGATGAATTTAATTTTTGAGCACTTTAATGTTTTAAATGGATTTTAAATTGTACATGTGGCTGAGGTGCTGCAATAATGTGGATGCTTTACCATGGGATGTCTCCATGGGTAACCTGCAGCAGGGTGTTCTGTGTGGCTGATATGCCACACAACACTTTAAACAGGTTCAATTAGAGGCGGCTCCATATTGCGCCAAGCCGCCAGTGTGACCACAGCCTATAACTGACCATAGTCACCTGGCAGAGTGGAGCTGTCAATAGCGCTCTTTAGATGCATCTGCCTGGTACCTACTTATCTCTCCAGTGCCAGATTTAGGCTTTTACCATTTTGGGGGGAAAAAGCTTGTTGTGAAACATCATTTTAAGTCTCCTCAGGTTTGAGAGCTTACTCCCTGCCATTTAAACTGCTTTCACTGTTTGTTTGTTTTTAACATTTTCTTTATTCATTTTTACACAAATACAATAAAATATCAGTTTATAATTGAACTAGAAATAAGGCCCGTTGTGGAAATAAATACAACGGGAGCTAGAAAGAGGCTCTGGGAGAGTGCTCTGGCTTTGGGCAAACAGTGTCAGTCTGCTTTTAAAACATGAACCTGGGACCTGCACACCACCAGAATACAGCAGGTTCCATATGCAACTGACATTCCAACTGCCTTGCGGGGGGGGGGGAGTTTGAGGTGTGGAATGGAGTGAAGTCCAATCAGCTTCCATATGCAAAAGACCAGGTTGTCGCAGCAGTTGTGGTGTGGGCAGGACCCGGGCTTTGCCTTCTGATTGGTGGCGATATATGCTGAGGAGCAGTGCCATCATCCATACACTAAGGGAGTGCATTTTAGAATTAGAACTTTGGCACCCACTATTCAATTATATATAAGGAGAGATATACATCCACAGATTGTAGAAACATTCCCATATTCCACCATATATGGCCTTCTGATTTCTTATCAAATCATAACTTTTATATATGATAATTTCCCATAAAGCACTTATTTGTCTTTAGTCCACTAACTTTGGGTATTTGGAACCCCCCCGACGAGGGCTTCCTCAACCCGATGGGAAGGGTGTAAGACGGTAATCGGTCAGGAGCTCGCCCCGACCCCGTCCGTCTTCGTCGAACCGGAACCGGATCTCTCCTAAACTGCTTTCACTGTTGATCCTTGTGTGTTCTTCCATTTGGGTTTTTCTGCATCACTTTGGGATGTGCGGAAAGATGGAGGAACTGTCTTAAAACTACAAACTAAGTCATAGGTCTTATACCTTATTATCAGAGATTCTGGAGACTGAAAGAAAATATCTCGCCTGATGCATTTCCCCAGGGACTTTCTGCTTCAGGCACGCTTAGCAGCTGCAAAGAACAGAAAGCAATTGCTTTTTGGGTAAAACTCCACATTGGGCAATGAAGGTTGTCTCACTTCCCCTTTTACTGAAGATAAAAGGAATAACCGATGGGCACAGATGTCTGAAGAGGGAGAGACACAGAGAGAGAGAGGAGAGAGAGATAGAAAAGCAGCAGTCAGTATCCTGTACACCTAGGCGCTTCTAGATTGCAAAGTATTAGCAGCAAACATGGGGGATGTCTACATCCGACATATTGAACTTCTGGGCTTTGAAAAGAGATTTTACCCAAGCCAACACTATGTAAGTATATGGGTATACAATTGCATGCATGGGTACACGGCGCCAGGCCAAAATGTGTCTTTTTACCCAGCTTTTAATATGGGGAAGTTGATCTTTTACAATCCATTTTACATAGGACTGCCAGCTTCCAGGTGGAGGCTGGAGATCTCTTGGGATTGCAGTGGATCGCCAGACTCCATAAAGAGCTTGCGTCTTTATGTATTTAAGACATTCATTACTCCACTTCTCCTGTAGAAAATGGCTGCTTTGGAAGGTGGGCTGTACGGCATTATTTATTGATTTTGTTGGACTTGTATTCCCACCCTCCCTGTAAGCAGGCTCAGGGCGGGTTCCATTAATGTTAATACGGTTTACAATAACAAAACCAATTAAAACAACAAATGTAGAGCAATACAAAAGTCATAAAATTCCATGCAAGAGCTAATCAGATCTGTCCCAGCAATTAAGATAGAACAGTTGTGTGGGTTTCCAGGTGGCTGTTCGAATCTAGGACACTGATGAGAGGTCAACCAGAGGGGGGGGGAGACACTGTCTCAACTAAAATCCTGGTGGAAGAGCTCCGTCTTGTAGGCTCTACTGAGGTCCTCTCCTCCCTAAAGCCCACCGTTCCAAGCTCCACCCTCAAATCACCAGGTATTTCTGAACCCAGAGCTGGAAATCCTAGTTTCACAATCTACTTCTAGCCAGTTTTATGAGAATCTTTTAAAACTGTTTTATGCTCTTGGCGATTTTTTAAAATACTAAGTTTGTTTTAATGCTGGGGTTTTAATTGTTGATTTTTATGATTTCTTTACTTTTTATGGTGCTTTACTTTGAAAGCCGTCTTGAGCAGGTTAACCTGAGAGGTGGCACGGATAGACTCCATTTGTTCAAGGCCAAATCTCTCAGCCAGCTTACTTTTGGTGCCCCCATTGATATCACTTCAAATGTTAAAAAACTGGAGGCTATTCAATCTAAGTTTCTGAGAACAGTTCTCCAAGTTCCCCCGGTACTTCAGATGCCTAGATCAGAAAAGAAACTGGCATGATCTCAGTGGAAGCAAGGCTTTGGATGTTGGTTATTCCATATTGGCTGGAACTTTAATTTAACTTTAATTTTTTTCCCAGAGGGTTGGCAAGTCTACTTTTTGAGGATACCTTTGTCTCTCCTTGGCTAAGGGCCGTTCTCACTTTGGCCTCTCAAAACAATTTCTTAATTCTCTCGCATAGGACAAAGTGAGTGAGACAGAGAATCCAGGACATAGCTAGACAGGATGATCTTACCAGCTCATGCAAATGGCAAGCCCTCTTAGAACCACTTCATAAGGTTGTGCCTATGCCCTTTGCCTATGCTGCGGTGGCTCAGGTAGTTAAGACGCTGAACTGCAAGCTGTGGAAGGTCAGTAGTTCAGCAGTTCGAGACCCGGGCGCCGCATGACGGAGTGAGCTCCCGTCTCTAGTTCCAGCTCCTGCCAACCTAGCAGTTCGAAAGCAAGAAATTGCAAGTAGATAAATAGGGACCACTTCAGTGGGAAGGGAACAGCGTTCCGTGCACCTTGGTGTTTAGTCATGCCGGCCACATGACCACGGAAACGTCTTCAGACAGCGCTGGCTCTTCGGCTTTGAAACGGAGATGAGCACCGCAACCCTAGAGTCGGATTCGACTGGCTTTCGAGCAAGGGAACCTTTACCTTTACTTTATGCCCTTTTTTATTTAGAAGATCATGAGTTATGAAGAACGTTTACTCTTCTGAGATGGGATGCGCTCCCTTCAGCTGTTACAGAGGGGAGGTTTAATTTTTTAAAAAACAAACCCTTGTTGATCATATATGTCCCTGTTTCAGTGATGAGATTGAAACTTTAATGGACGTTATATATGACTGCAGGGCATATAGCTACTTTTGTGATATTCTCCCTCTCTCTACAACTACTTTATCCTCAACTAGTCAAAAGATGCAATTACTGAAGAACCTCTTAGAAAGTAGGGTCCTGAGGTTACAGGTAAACTTGCCAAATTTGGCTGGTTAGCTGTAAGGACTAGGAACCTGCTAGTGAAAGGAGAATAGATGTAATTTGCTATAGGATTTAACATGTTTTACTTGCATGCACTATTTTATATTTTTTTACTTTATATATTCCATATATGCTTGTGGTTTTATGGATTCTGACAAATTCAGCTTGACTACTGTATTAGATTGCTGGCTTTTGCTGTGAATGAACTATGTATAGACTCCGGAGAGGCTAGACAAATAATAGCAGAGGTCAGGTGCTTTGGTGTTGAGATCTTGGATCTGTCTAGCAATTTGGCTCCATTTTTAAAGATCTAGGCGATTTTCTGCAGGCGATTATTTTATAGGAAAGTATGTGCAACGATCCATTGGTCCAGTGGGTCCACTAGAAACACTGACGTCACAAAATCCTTCAAGTAATATCTTACAAACATGTCTATCCAGTCGGAAGGTGGAGCAAGAAGACAGAGTACCTGACTGAAAACCATTTGAATACTGCCTCTCTGTAGGGTTGCCAACCTCCAGGTGGTGGCTGGAGTTCTCCTGGGATTACCATTGATGTCCAGGTGACAGGGATCAGTTATCTGGAGAAAATATCTCTTTTGGAAAGTGGACTCTGTGGCATTATATCCCATGGAAATTCCTGCCCTCCCCAACCCCCACCTTCCTCAGGCTCAAAACCGCCCCCCCAATCTTCAGGTATTTCCCAACCCGAACCTAGCAACCCTGACTCTTTCAAAAAATGGCCCTTGGAGGTTTCCAAAATGAAGCAACAATATCAGATGGAGACTTATTATTTTGTGTGGAGATGTGATTGTGTAGCAGGGGGATCCCTCAGTCAAAACCACACGAGGAACTGGGTGATCTGTGGTCAGATCTCCCCAGAGCGATTTAAAAATTAAACCACAACAGTGTGTGGCCCAGATTCATATTGGAGGAGGAGGTTTAATCTTTTGTTTCATGTGTCAGAACTGACTTCATGCTATTATTCGCCCTGGCCTAGAAGATAATAAAGATTCCCCCCCCCCGAAGAGCCAGTTTGGTGTAGTGGTTAGAAAGACAGGCTGCAGTCTGGGCAAACCGGGTTTGATTCCCCACTCCTCCACGTGCAGCTGCTGGTGTGACCTTGGGTCATTTACAAGTCGTTTCAGAGCTGTTCTTTCACAAGCAGTCTTCAAAAGAGCTCTCTCAGCCCCACGTACCTCACAGGGTGTCTGTTGTGAGGAGGGAAAGGATATTGTAAGCGTTCTGAGACTCCTTCAGGTAGTCAGGGGCGGGGTATAAATCCAATCTCCTCCTCCTCCTCCTCTTCTTCTTCAAAATGCGGGGAGGGGGAGAGCTCAGTTTGAATGAGCCAAGTCAAGTACGGGTTTAAGGGTTCTTCTTTCCCATTTTATTCTCACAATAACCTTGTGAGGTCGGCAAGGCTGTGTGTGAGGGAGCGAAAGAGCATCTGACTGGACGTGGTCACCCCGTCTTCTCCCCACGTGGCCTCTTGTCTTAATTGGCCCCTTCCCTGGGCTGCAATTTACATTTCAAAAAAATGCCGGGCAGATCCGTTCATGGCTCCCGTCTAAACCGGACCCTCAACTGTATCCCTTTGGGTGTATAAAACATTCGGTGATCTCATGCAGCAGCCAAAAAGTGTTAGGGAGTTGTCTGCTTCAATTTGCATCTGTAATTGACTGTCTTCTATAACTGGTCTCACAAGGCCTTTTGTGGTTGCACAGTGGTGTTCAGTCAGCAATACTGTCAAGAGTGGGGGGAGTGGGGGGGCTGTGCAATCCAAATGTCTCCATGAAAGGAAGACTGCTTGAGGTTTGACTGGGCTTGGAAAGAAAATGTTGCCCAGTGGAGGCCTGATAAAGTGTCGGAACTCCAAATTCACCTGGAAACTGGCCATATGGAATGCTTTGTACATGCACAAACGGTATGGAGAGGCAGCATGGTCTAGTGGTTGCAGTGTCAGGCTGGGATCGGCGTGGCATAATGGCTAGAGTGTCAGACTAGGTTCTGGAAGACCCTTGGTCTGAATCCCTACTCCGACCACGGAAGCTTGCTGAGTGACTGTGGGCCAGTCATGCACTCTCAGCCTACCCTACCTCACAGGGTTGTTGTGAGGATAAAATGGAGGAGAGGACCAAATAAGCTGCCATGGGCCCTCATGGGGGAGAAAGGTAGGGTATATGAAGTAAATAGATAAATGTTCATATGTTTCATTCAATGTCTATACAGATGCAGTGCAGATTTTAATAACAGGTGATGTGATAGCTCGTGAGTTTGCTGTGCTTTTGAAAAACCCTGGGATCTGTTGCCTGAGACACCTATGAGACACTTGGGTAGCTGGGCAAAGTTCTGGGAGACCTCGATTCCAACTTTGCAGCTGAGTGATCTTGGGCTGGTCACTCCTAGCCCAACCTACCCCACATGCTTATTGTGAAAGGGAGAACCACATACACTGCCCTAAGGTTAAAAGGAGGTAGAATTAGTCTACCAGGGTACAAAATAATGTCACTTAATTGGGGCTGAAGATTTCACCAGAGTTTTTCGTCTGTTCCATAGCGGAATTTCCCACAGAAACACTTTAAAATACCCTCTTAAAGCAGGGCTGCCACTTTAGAGTTTGGGAGGAACAGGATCCGTAACTCCAAACACCCCCTTTCAGATCAAGTGGCGAAAGACCCCCCCCCCCGAGTTTTCAGTTCAGTTCAGTTGACCTTTATTGGCATAAAATACCTTTAAAAGGATTACTATAAGCCCCCGAGTTTTCATGAGCTTCAGTGATTCTTATATAATAATTTTCATTTTTATAACAATATGGAGAATAAATTTGTGTGGTTTCTACCTATAGGATTGTTATTCCACCTTCTCACTGATTCCTCTCTGCCCCAAGTGCATTCTGGGGTGAGCCTTCAGGAAGCCATTTTGAACTTCTGAAGTTTTTTTGTTTGTTTGTTTGTTTTTAAGCATTGCACTTCTTCCCTTTCATCTTCAGGTTTACATGTTCTTGGTGAAATGGCAAGATCTCACCGAAAAAGTCGTGTATCGGAAGTTCACTGAGATATATGAATTTCATGTAAGTAAGGCCTTGGTCTGTGCTGCTTTGGGCACTGGCTGCAATCCTGGCCATGCTTTACTTGGGAGTAAGCCTCAGTGGTTTCTCAGTGGAAAGGTTAGAAGCATTCCACAAATAGTCGGAGGCGCAGTGGATCCGAACACTGGAAATGAAATCCAGAGCTCAAGTTAAACCATGCTGCTACTTTGGGTTGGCAGAGTTTAAATATGCAAAGGAAGTGGAGCATTGACTGTTTAGAGGGGAAAAAAGTAGATTTATTAAAGCACAAACTGTTGTCAAACATAGAAGAGAGAGACCCTTAACGGTCTAGCCTAACTGCTGTGAGAGGAACAAAAAGACGGAAGCTCTGCAGGTGCAGGAAATCTCCAGAAGAGCCAATCAGGAGACAGTATAAAGACATAATTTGAAATTGTGGGCAGGCCCTAATCTAGCTATGCGAAACAACCAGTCCTGCAGCTGTGCTCCTGCAGGGCAATCCTCAGATCCTCCTCATGAGGCTGCACCATAGACTTTGCATATCCCAGCAATTTGAACGGAGGTTATCAGGCCTAGACCCCTAGACGGGTTCCGAATCCTTAAGAGTTGGGTGGAAGGGGAAATTCGGCCCAGCGTAATTTCTCCCTTCACTGCAGCAATATCATGGAGGCCGGCGGAAAGGCAGTTCATGGAAGTCCCCTTCTATATCACTCTGGAAAGTACCCCCCCCAATTCCCGGTAGCGCCCTTGTGCCTTTAAACAGCTGCATGCCTGGAAGAGCTTTAGCGGCAGAAAAATTCCCCAGAAGGAAACTTCAGCTGCCGAATGTTTGTTTCCCGCTCCGCTTTTCGAAAACAAAGAAACCCTGCCAGGTAACAAATCTGGCAAACTGGGCTGGTTCAAGTTTTGGAAGGACCCTGGGCAGAAGTGCTTGGCGGCTCCCCTCCTACCCTCCGCTCACCACTCGGACCCCCACTCACACCTCCACCGGCCTAGCCTGCCCCTGCTGGTACCACTGGGCGGTGTGCATGGCTGAGAGCACCACTGCTGTGACCATCCAGGAGCACTTGCTGATACTGGCCATGCTCATTCTTGATCCAGCTATTACTGTGTGTGTGTGTAAGAACCATCGGTGGGTAGCGCAGTTCATCTAGCAAAGGGCTCCAAAGGAGATAGGTCCCAGCCAATGCTCCCTTTAAGCTGTGGAGTCTTGTGAGCAAAAATCCTACTTTGTGAGCGACTGGCATTAAAGTTGTGAGCAGGTGATTTGGCTACTGCATAAATTAGTTTGCTCTGGAGCCCTCCTTCCTGAGCTAAGACAAAATGTGTGAGCCGGAGGTTAAAAAACTGTGAGCTAGCTCACACTAACTCAGCTTAGAGGGAACATGCGTCCCAGCTTAGAATGTTCGTCCAAATCAGGGGTCGTTTCATAGAAAAAGAGCTAGGGGAACTCATTAGCATAATGCATTAGCATATGCCACACCCCCTGCCATCACCGGAAGTGTGTCATAAGGCCACACCCCCCGCCATCACTGGAAGTGTGTCATAAGGCCACACCCACCACTCAGTTAGTCTTAGTCTTAAAGGTTAGTCTTAAAGGTGCTATTTGTTAGTCTTAAAGGTGCTATTTGAACTCTTGGACTATTTTGCAGACTAACACAGCTACCTCGGGGAAGCTCCTGGATGGGGCTGGGAGTCCTTGCAGAGGCCATGTGAAGTGGCCTCGGCCAGGCAGAGGGGGAGGACGCCAACCTACCCTCCTGCTTCTTCCTCCTTCTGCAACAGAATGAGGCTGGAAGCAGGGGCGGCTGGAAGAAGGGGGCGGGGCTTCGTCATGTCCCCCGCCCCCTGCACCTCACCCGGGGGAACTGTGATCCCCCCCGAATCGACCTCTGGTCCAAATTAAAGAACAACCTTGCTGAGCTCGTTTTCCGTGGGTGAGGAGTTTTTAATGGAGAAGGACATGGTGCAAAATAAGAGCTGCTAGTCTTGAGTGGCCGAGAGATGATGCTGTGAGCCCCCAATTCAGGCCTTGACTTGCCATGACCTCCCTAGCCGGCCTTCGGGCCAAAAGAGATAGAAAGAAGATCATGGAGCTCTGTCTTTCTGTAAAAGGTAAATTGCAGTTTTGTACAAGCCCAGATCTGTGGGCAGCTGTGTGAGGAGGGGGAGGATTCAACCCCCCCCCATGCCCCACTCAGTTTCTCTAATCAAACCTGGCCAACCTGTGCTGCGGTTAGCATCTTAAAGAAGAATATGAAACTTACAGCAAAACTTGACCGTGGCTGCTCTTTCCTCCACCAGAAAGTTCTAAAAGAGATGTTTCCAATTGAATCTGGGGATATCAACACAGAGAATCGTATCATCCCTCACTTGCCAGGTAAGTGACTTAGTCGCAGTTGAACTGGAGATTCTCTAGGCCAGGGTGTCGAACTCATTTGTTATGAGGGCTGGATCTGACATTTATGTTGGGCCAGGCCATGTGTGTCATAAAAGGTAATGCCAGGTAGCGGAGATATAAACTTTATAAAGAACACAGACAGACACAATTAAAGATTTTTTTTAACTTTAAATAACACATTTCCAGTGAGTTCAACACCCCTGCTCTAGGCGAAGACACTTGCCAAAAGCATTGAACCGGTGGCGTATAACCTGTGGAGAAATGGTCGTAAACCATAAGAGGAAGGAATCTCTAACAGCCGTGAATGTGATTTAGTGGCCAAAGGATCGAAGTGTTCAGAACAATCGTTGGAAGAGGAAGAAAGCCAGTGCTGCATGAACTTAACCACTAAAAGCCTGGCAGAATGAAAATGTTTTTACCTGGCACTTAAATATCAACTCAAAAGGGTGGTATAAGAACAGCAAGAGAATTCCGCAAAGGAAAGATGCCTTGGGCATCTTATGAGTAACAACTCTATTTTAGACTATAATGTACTGAGGATTTTGTTTTTTCAAGTTCAGGTAATGAATGAATGACAGACTTATCTGTCTATATATTAATTGTGGGGGTTGTTTGGAATACCATTTAAACTCGATTTCATATTTGTCGTATCGCTTGAACAGTCATTTTTTTCCCCAACTCTCTTCTTTGTAGCATTCTGTCTTGACCAGACCTGTATACTTTTTTGAGAGTATTATCTTTTGATCTGATTCTGTCCATTCTTTTTTGCCCTTTCATTACTGACCTATTTACATTTTTTAATTTCTTTTAAAAAATTGTATTGTTGAACCCTGCAGTGTCCAAATTAAGCTGTAGGAAACGAGTGATCTATTACTGTTTTTATGCAATAGCATTGAAAGGGGGATGTCCCGTGTGGTAAACTAAATTCTACTTAGAGGGTTGGTTTGTTGAGACTGGCGTGTCTCGAGACTGAAGCATTGTGTGGGCTGAAGGAAGTGAAACCTTGGTTCCCATGGGGCCAAGCCAACCCAGCAAGCCAATGAATCATGCATTGTTATGGCAAACAGGATCCCTGACATCATGGTCAAAGAATGGGAGGGACTCTGGGTGTTGGTGTGACTTCTATAGACTCATTTGTTTTGTTTGGAATACGTTTTGCCCACATTTCAACCATGCAGGTCCACAAAGCCAGCATGGTGTAGTGGTTAAAATGTCAGATTAGGATCTGGGAAATCCAGGTTCGAAACCTCACTCGTGCCACAGAAGCTTACTGGGTGACCTTGGGCTAGTCACACACTCTGAGCCTAACCTGCCTCACAGAGTTGTTGTGAGGATAAAATGGAGTTGAGGAGAACAATGTAAGTTGCTTTGGGTCCCCGTTAGGACATAAATAAAGTAAATGTTTTAAAAAGCAAACACAATTCAAAAACAACCCCCAAAACAGGCTGTAGCTTCATATCTGAAATATATATTATCAATATTATCCTTTTGAAGTGTGTTTATGTGTGTGAGGGGCAATAAGACCATTAAGTCCAGGGTCTAAAATTACCGAATTCTACCACTGCCCCAAACACATTAAACAACAAACCAAATTTTCTCAGACTTAATAATTACCTCATGAATTCAAATCTTAGCCATCAGTGTCAATCAATCAGCATCCAAAGCTCTCTGAAATGATACAGTTTGTGTCTGATATCTGTAGGAGAGAATTTTGCCAATTTTGGTGCCATCACTGAATCCTTCCTTCCTTCCTTCCTTCCTTCCTTCCTTCCTTCCTTCCTTCCTTCCTTCCTTCCTTCCCACCTCTCTCCCAAAGGACATGAAGTTTATTACAACAGACATGACAGATTTAAAACACATAAGCCAGAATTAAGAATCCACTAAAAATACACATATTGACCCTGAGACTGACATTGGTTATCTTATACTTTAAAAGTCCTTTAAAATAATTCAGCCTTGTGGTGGCTTTGGAAATTTGTCAGGGGTGTGTGTGGTCTTCTTCAGAGCCTCAGGAAGGTCATTCTGTGTGGGTGCTGACCGAGAAAAAGACTTATTAGCCTGATCTGCCGAAGTCTGAACATGTACAGATTGGAACCAATAGCAGGCATTGATTGGAAGAACACAATTGTCACCCTCTGGTATAGCCACCTTCTGTCTCTCTTACAGAGGGGGAAACGCAGTGCAGAGGCCTTTGTAGATGATGGAGATGTATGGATAGATTCCTAGTGGACAAGGGGGTTCTTGTGTACCTGTAGCCACATCATCACGGGTACATTAACTATAAACCATCCTGTCTTCTCATTAGAGGGGATGGATACCTGTGGATCCTTCCCTGTGTGAATCCTTGGCCCTGGGTGAATGAGCAGGTTCAAGTGGGAAGACATCCTTTAATATTGATAATTTGTTTAACATTTATAATTGTTTTTTGATTGTGAGCAGCCCCGAGAAGATCACTGGAGAAGGCGGCATATAAATCCCCTAAAAGACACCTTGGGGCTGTAGATTTGGTTCAGTGATGAGTTTTAAAAAAAAATTAAAACCCCTCTTTCTGCAGCCCCGAGGTGGTTCGACAGCCACCGATCAACCCAAAACCGTCAAAGCACGCTGTCGGAATACTGCTCTGCCCTGATCACCTTGCCCCGCAAAATCTCCCGCTGCACGCACATCCTGAACTTCTTCAAGGTCAGAAACGACGATCTGAACCCACCTATGGCGAGCCAGTGAGTAGCAGCAGCAGGATGCTGGGAGGGAGGCTGGTGTTGTGGCTTGTGGGTTGTTGTGGGGGAGGAGGGAATAGAATGTGAAATGAAGGCTTCACCACACCAGTCTGAGATTTAGGGCAGGAGGTGCGAAGACTGGCAGAATGTAAACTTGGTGGCAAAATGTCAGCTGTTCAGCCTGTTCGAATTGTTGTTATTTTATTGCCCTTGGGATTTTTTCTTCTCACACATCACAACATATTAGCCCAGTGATGATGATGATTTAAATTTGTTAATCGCGTTATCACAGCTTACGCTGGGCTCTGGGTGATGCACATGAGGGCATGATGCCATAAAAACATATAAAACATTACAATTCTACAGAACAATTTAACAAAACTAAAGACTCCAATAGAGTCCATGATGATGGCAGCTAGGGCTCTATGTTTTCCCCTCAAATGGCTGTGGCCCCGCCCCCGGTGTGCCCGGCGTCATCACGTCACATCCGGCTGACATGCATGCGGCACACACGCGCGCACTCAAGACGCCGTCCGGGAGCCCCCCGCCGCCAGCAAAAATGGACTTGGCAACCCTAATGGCAGCTTGGAAATTTCTCCCTCAGCTCTGGACTCCTCATAACAGCAGCAATTCGGGGTGGGGGTGGGGTGGGAGGGAAGAGAGCAGGGGTCATTTCCTGCAGGAGCACACAGGAGCGGAGCTCCGGCAGTAAAGAGTCCAGGGGGTGGGCACATGCAACAAGCCCCACCCCCTGCTCCCAGCAGCCCTCAGTCAGAGCAGGAAGCAGCCAGGTAAGTTGCAGAGCCCCCCCCCAGCCCCCCAGCCCAAAACAGTCCAGTGGCACCTTTAAGACCAAGTTTTATTCAGGTACAAGCTCTCCCTCCTCTGTGAGGACAGATCTGCACTCCCCCCCCCCCCAATAGCTAGCAATCCAAAACAGTCCAGCGGAGTCTGAGCGGTGGGTGTTGCCTTCTGACACACTTCCAGTGATGTCAGGGTGTGTGGCATATGCAAATGAGTTATGCTAATGAGCTCCTGCACCTCTTTTTCTACGAAATGACTCCTGGAAGAGAGGGTGCCAGCCAGGGAAAAACCATTGCTGCCCTCAACCAAAAGCCTGGTGGAACGTCTCTGCCTTATAGGCCCTGCAGCATTGCATAAGATCCCGTAGGGCCCTGATGTCATTTGGCAAAGAGTTTCACCAGGTTGGGGCCAGCCCCAAGAAGTCCCTGGCCCTGGTCAAGGACAGCTGGACATTCCTAGGGCTGAGGATCACCATCAGATTGCTATCAGTAGAGCGCAAGGTTCTCCTGGGACTCTGATACCCTATGGTGCGCCTTTGTCCCCCCCCCCCCCCAAAGCATCTCTTCCCTCAAACAAATACACAGCCCTGGCTTTTCTCTATCCCACTGGAGCTGCAGAAGAATCCAGGAAGTATCCCTTTTGTTCCTTTGTGTAGGGAGCACCTGCTAGGAAATATCTGCCTCCACTGTAAAAAGATGCTCGGTTTGCAACCTCCTGACTTTTTGTGACTAGCTCTGGCTCACCCAGCCAGCCATTTTGGGACTGGCTCTGCTTTCCCCACCATCTAGGGTCGCCAGACCCCCACTGGCAATGGGGAATCCCCCACCTGCAGCAGGCACTCCCCAGTGCCACTCAGCTGGCGAAGCGGTGCCCAAATGATAAGAACATAAGAACATAAGAACATAAGAGATGCCAATGTTGGATCAGGCCAAAGGCCCATCCAGTCCAACACTCTGTATCACACAGTGGCCAGAAATACCAGGTGCCATCAGGAGGTCCACCAGTGGGGCCAGGACATTAGAAGCCCTCCCACTGTTGACCCCCCCACCAAGCACCAAGATGATAGAGCATCACTTGCCCCGGAGTCCCTATCTATACCTTGTGGCTAATAGCCACTGATGGACCTCTGTTCCAGATGCTTATCTAATTCCCTTTTGAAGCCGTCCATGCTTGTAGCCACCACCACTTCCTGTGGCAGTGAATTCCAAGTGTTAATCACTCTTTGGGTGAAGAAGTACTTCCTCTTATCCATTCTAACCCGACCGCTCAGCAATTTCATGGAGTGCCCACGAGTTCTTGTATTGTGAGAAAGGGAGAAAAGTACCTCTTTCTCTACCTGCTCTTTCCCATGCATAATCTTATAAACCTCGATCATGTCACCCCTCAGTCGTCATTTCTCCAAGCTAAAGAGACCTAAGCGCCTTAACCTTTCCTCATAGGGAAAGTGTTCCAACCCCTTTATCATTCGAGTTGCCCTTTTCTGCACTTTTTCCAAAGCTATAATATCCTTTTTAAGGTGTGGTGATCAGAATTGCACACAGTATTCTAAATGAGGTCGCACCATTGATTTATATAGGGGCATTATGATATTTGCTGATCTGTTTTCAATACCCTTCCTAATAATCCCCAGCATAGCATTGGCCTTCTTTATTGCAGTCACACACTGTCTCGACATTTTCAGTGAGTTATCTACTACAACTCCAAGATCTCTCTCTTGATCAGTCTCTGCCAGTTCAGACCCCATCAACGTGTATTTATATTTAGGATTTTTGGCTCCAATGTGCATCACCTTGCACTTGGCCACATTGAACCCCATTTGCCATGTTGATGCCCACTCGCCCATCTTTGACAGATCCCTTTGGAGTGCCTCACAATCCTCACTAGTTTTCACCACCCTGAACAACTTTGTATCATCCGCAAATTTAGCCACTTCACTGCTTACTCCCAACACCAAATCATTAATGAACAAGTTAAAAAGCAGTGGACCAAGTACTGATCCCTGCGGTACCCCACTGCTTACCCTCCTCCACTGAGAGAACTGCCCATTTATACTTGACGAGATTGGGGGGCCCTGTGGTAGCCTATTAGGGGTCAAAGCATTGGCAGGGGGGCTGTTCTGCCCAGGTGTCAAGCCCTCATCAGTGCCTCACAGCCACCAAGGAGGAGAACGCCTCAGGCTCCTCCTCTCCTCATACATGGCTCACAAAAATTTGGACGGGCCCGTACAACTTGCTTCACTGTCTTTTAAAGCGCCTGGGGAATGAAGAGGGGAATGAAGTAACCTCTCCTCTCCTCTGACCTCATGGGTGGTGAAGTGTGGTCGGGAGGGGAAGGTAGGGGCTTCAGGAGGAACGCCTTAGGTCTGCCACAGGGATGCGGCTGCCATTTTAAGGCAATTTAAAGATCCTGTGAAGGCCCAGTCCTAATAGCCTAGGGCATATGTCATGGTGGGCTAGGGAGTCTTGTTCCCTCCCATCTTTTCAAGTACTGAAACAGATGAGTGTGTGTCTTAGGGAGGGTTTTGTGGAACTTGAGAAGATGAGCACAGGGGAATCACCTCAGTCTGCTGCACCACAGGCTTGACCAGGATTGGGCCCCAGTGGCATTTTAATATCCTTGTGTGGTGAACACAGGGACGCCGTCACGTCTAGCTTGGCCCTGAATGGTTTGCCTGAGGCCAAGCTGCGCACGTGGCTGAGAGGCAAGACTTGGAATTTCAGTGGCTTTTGTTTTGTTCTCTCCCCACCAGATTCAAGAAGCCAGAAACCTTTTTAACGCCAAAGGACTCCAAGAAAGGTGCAGCAGGTAAGAGATGTGCATTCAGGCTGTGGTGAACACCACTGATTTCCTTTCAAGGCAACCAGAGTCACTCAGAGTCTCAGAGCGGCCTACAATCTCCTTCCCCTTCCCCTCCCCACAACAGACACCTTGTGAGGTAGGTGGGGCTGAGAGAGCTCTGACAGAAACTGCTCGAGAGAACAGCTCTGAGAGAATTTGTGACTGACCCAAGGTCACACCAGTAGCTGCACATGGAAGAGTGGGGAATCAAACCCGGTTCCCCCAGATTAGAGTCCGCGCTCTTAGCCACTACACCAAACTGGAAGCCATGGAGAAAGGTAAAGAGTGGTGATAAGAGTGCCAACGGGGTGCCCCAGTGGTACTTCAGGTTAAAAAGAGACACATGTTTCTAGTTTTCTCTTTATGAGAAGTGTCCCAAAATGATAGTGGCTATGAATGTCAAAAACCCACTACCATTTTAGGGGTGAAAGCATTGCGGGAAGCCACAGGAGGGGAAGGTGTATGGGTTATAGGGTAAGTAAATATTTATGTATGCTTTTTAAAAAAGTTTTAATGGATAAATGTTGAATGCCTATGACTGGAAAAATAATAAAACTTTGTTTACCAAAAAAAAAAAACCCACTACCATTTTCAGGCATTTGATAAATTACCACAAGGACAGAAACATCCTTTTTTATTTTTAACTGTAAGTAGCACTGAGAGCTCCTTTAGATTTCAAATCTCGCTGTGTTGCAACTTCTGTCCTGCGTGTCCCTAAGCCCTGCTGCTTCCCCCCCTCTAGACATCACGGGGCCCATCATCCTCCAGACGTACCGAGCAGTTGCCGATTACGAGAAGAATTCTATCACCGAGATGGGGGTCAGGACAGGCGATGCTGTGGACGTGGTGGAGAAAAGTGAAAGCGGTAAAGGAAAAAAAAACTCTGTCTTTTTTACACTTGCTTTGGAGCATGGTCAGTTTTAGTGCTGTACCAGAGGAGTCCGCACTTCGGCTGTGGAAGTAGCATACAAGGCCCTCTAGTAAGGCTGGCTACTTGTTGGGGGGGCGGGGTGGGGCTGGACAATATTCCCTTTATTGTCTCCCCCAATAAATATGCATGGAGACACCTCCTCCTCTTAGGGTTCCCAAATCCCCCCAGGGGGCGGATTTCCCCCTGCTTTTGAGGCCCGATTTCCGCCCCTGCGGAATCGGGCCCGGGGGAAACTCCACCCCCGCACGCGCGCCGCCCGGATGTGACGTACAGACGCCAGGCACGCTCTATGTTTTCCCCTCAAATGGCTGTGGCCCCGCCCCCAGTGTGCCTGGCGTCTGTACGTCACATCCAGGCGGTGCGCGCGCGTGGACCTTCCAGATGCCGGGCAGGAGCCTCCCGCCACCAGGTAAGAATCATTTGGCAACCCTACCTCCTCTTCCTCTGCCCACTCTTTTAGACAGAGGCAGGCTGGCCACAACTAGGGTTGCCAGCTCTGGGTGGGAAACACCTGGAAATTTTGGGGGTGGAGCCTGGGGAGGGTGGGGTTTAAGTAGGGTTGCCAAGTGACTCATCAAAATAAGCAGCGGAGATTGGTCCCATTCCGGGACATTCGTGTGTGGGCGGCGCAATGACATCGCCTGGAAGCGACGTCATCACGCTAGGCACGTTGCCGGGCAACGCTCTAGCATCCGGCCTGAAAACTCTATGCTACCATAGAGTTTTCAGGGTGATTGCTAGAGCGTTGCCTGGTGATGTGCCCAGTTTGATGACATCACTTCCGGGCGACGTCATCACGCCAGGCACGTTGGCCCGATCTGGCCAGTTCGGGGGTGGGATTCCCCCTGCCGGCTGGACCCAGACCAGCGGATTGGGGGCCCTTTTAGCGGGGGGAATCCCCGCCCCCTGGGGGGACTTGGCAGCCCTAGGTTTAAGGAAGGAAAGGCATCTCCTCAGGATATAATGCCACAGAGCAGTGTTCCCTCTAAGGTGAATTAGTGCAGGGCCAGCTCACTCACTAGGCGATCGCCTAGAGCGGGACGGCCCTTAGGGCCACAAAACTGCACCTGGCCCCGTACTCTGGGAGTTTCTTGATTATTTGTGTTTTTCATTCTTCCTAAAATAAATGTATTTTTTTTGTAAAGTGGGGGGGCACAGGGGGGGGGGGGGGAGGAGAAAGGATCCTCGCCTAGGGTGCAAAATAAGCTGGAGCCGGCCCAGGCAGGATGGCTCCAGAGAAAACTAACTGATGCAGTAGCCAAATCGCTTGCTCACAACTTTAATGCCAGGAGCTCACACAGTAGGATTTTTGCTCACAAGACTCCACAGCTTGGAGGGAGCCTTGCCACAGAGTCCACCTTCCGAAGCATCCGTTTTCTCCAGGGGAACTGATCTTGGTTGTCTGGGGATAACTATAATAGCAGGAGATCTCCAGGTACCGCCTGGAAGTTGGCAACCCTTCCGATAAAGCAAACTGTATATCACAAATTCGCATGTGGGTAGTCTTTTATGTTCCACTAGACTCCTCTTTTATTTATTATATACTCAAATGTTGACACTGACATATTAAAAAATGCAGAAGTTACAAAAATCAACACGTAATGCATATCTTTGCTCTCTTAAGGACTGTGCTTCCTGCTTTGCTGATTTGACAGTACTGAGGCAACTTTATGTGCCTTTTACTGGCTTTTTATCTAAGTGGCTAGTTTATTTCATTGCACTTTTACTGCTGTCTAATTTGTCAGCTTCTGCGGCTGGAAAGCACTCAGAGTGCCACTAAGACTGACCCCACAGGGGCACAAGCATTAAAATACATGTCATTGTTTGTTTGTCGTTCCAGGCTGGTGGTTCTGTCAACTGAAGAATAAGCGAGGCTGGGTCCCGGCTGCCTACCTAGAACCTACGGATGGTCCAGATGAGTCTGAAGAGCAGGAACCCAACTATGCAGGTAGGTGGCCATCTGACAGCAATGCTGATTCTGTGAACTTAGGCAGATCATGAAAGGGGGCGGGCGGGAAGGGTTGCATCAGTGCTTAGTTCTTGTGGTCCTTTCCTACACGCCCAGGGAAATGCCGATCGCCACTTTGGGGTCAGGAAGCAATTTTTCTCCAGGCCAGTTTGGCCAGGGATCCTGGAGGTTCTTTGTCATCTTCTGGGCATGCAACAGGGGTCACTGGGTGTGTGTGTGTGGGAGGGGAGAGGTATTTGTAAATTTCCTGCATTGGGCCGCGGGTTGGACTAGATGTCCCTGGAGGTCCCTTCCAACTCTATGATTCTATGATTCTAACACCTCCATGAAAGTTTCAGAGAGGATGGTCTTAGATTAAGTACAGCATAGAGCAGATCTATTGGCTTAGTTCTGGGATAACTAGGTGGAGAAGAAAGGAAGTGTTTGGACAAACTGATTCTTTGAAATGAATTCAAATATACCTCCGAATATTCTACATTTTGCTTTGGACCTTGAAGGACTCTTTTAAGAAGCGTAAGGCAATATGGTCTTCACTAGCATGCATGTCCTTTTGGGATATCTGCTTACTATATGGATCAGATAGGAATGACTACTCACATAATTCGCTGAGCCACACTGGTCGCAAAATATTCTACAGCAGTGGAAGACCAACCTCAAAACTGAGCACAGGGGTCAGAGATTTAGGCTCTATTCAGATGCTGAAAACAAGTCAGAGGTTCTTCTTGATGGGTGTGAACCTGTTTGTTGATGGGCTTGCAGGTCGGAGTTCATGAAGCTGCCTTATGCAGAGTTAGAGTCTTGGTCCATCAAGGTCAGCATTGCCTACTCTGGCTGGCAGCTGCTCTCCAGGGTCACAGGGCAGAGGTTTTTCACATCACCTGCTCCCTGGTCCTTAACTGGAGATGGTGGGGATCGAACCTGCGGCCTTGTGCCTGCCGAGCAGATGCTCTAATACTGAGCCATGGCCCCTCCCCTAGGCTGTAGGCCCTCCTCTAGCCATGTTTACTCTCTTTCTGCTGTCATGGATGGTTTCCTGGTTTAGAAACTCTTCTGTCTAACTTAGGGTGTTACCCTTCAAATCCATTTGGAGCCAGTGTGTAACTCCTTTCTGAGCTGGATTCCTCAGAGAGGAAGAATGACTACAATTACCATGTCTTGGGGAAAGGGAATTCAGGCCTGCGAAGAAACCAGGTTCAGACTCCTCACAAACAAAACTAGTTTGTTTGGAACCCATGAACCCCCTTTCTTGAGCCTTCCAGCTTTAGAACGGACAACCAATTCCAAAAGACAAAAACTTTTTTTCAAGATATCTGAGGTAATTTCCTGACACGCTTGGTTGACTAACAAAAGAGTGGGCTCGTCCCCGTTGCACGGCCTTGAATATGATTGCAGCAACCCTTTCCTTTCTGTGGTTTTCCCTCTTGTTTTTCTTTCGTTCAGCTTCTCTATTTCTTTTCCCCACTCCCCCACTGCACCAATGTGCCCATTTCCATAATGTGCAAATGTACTATCTGTTTCATTTGGAGGGAAGAAAGGGAGAGGGTGCCTGGGGGGTCTCCCAGAATTACAACGGATCTCCAGGCTTACAGTGCTCAGTTCCCTCTGGAGAAAAAGGCTGCTTTGGAGGGCAGACGCCATTGGCATTATACCCTGCTGAGGCCCCTCCACTCCCCAAGCCTCCCCCAGGCTGTGTCCCCAAATCTCCAGGAATTTCTCAAACCCAGAGCTGGCAACCTTGTGCCCACAAATGAATTGGTTTCAGAAAGGGTTGCTTGATCTTTGATTCCCCTCCCCCCCCCAATGCATTTGAACTTGAATCTGGGCTCAGTTGTCACATCTGACACCACATGCTTCGGTCTCCATGTTCAGTGTGTAAGACAGGAACGGTTGTGATCTTCTTTCCATGGTTGCTACCAAGGTGAATGTGATTGAAACTGGAAAACAGTTCGCTGCTTTTTTCTTTTCTTTTTTGCATTTGCCTGGAAGTCATGGCAACCTCTGGCAACTCCTACTGGGGCACAGAGGATGTCCAGAGAGAAGTGGCTGATAGGGCCTGCCTCTGACTCCGATCCCTGGTACTCTCTGGAGGTCTCCCATCCAAATACTTGCCGGGGTTGACCCCGCTTAACTTCCGAGATCTGACAAGATCGAGCTCACCTGGGCTATCCAGGTCATGGCCAACATTTTGCTATTTTTAAGGGGTAAAATGAATGACAAAACACTGCAGTGGGAGAATTCTTGGGTGCTTTTGGTGTAGCGGTTAAGTTGGCGGACTCTAATCTGGGAGAACCGGGTTTGATTCCCCACTCCTCCACTTGCACCTGCTGATGTGACCTTGGGTCAGTCACAAGCTCTGGCACAGCTGTCCTTGAAAAAGAGCAGTTTGTGTCAGAGCTCTCTCAGCCCCACCCACCTCACAGGGTGTCTGTTGTGGGGAGGGGAAGGGAAAGGAGTTTGTAAGCCGCTCTGGGACTCCGAGTGAAGGGCGGGGTATAAATCCAATCTCCTCCTCCTCCTCCTTTTAGTGCTGTGTTGAGCTCCTCCAAGACCTCTGAGGTCTTCATGGTTCTTCCTCCTTTTCTGTTCAGGTGAACTCCACGTTGTCTGCAAAGGCTACACAGCTGCCCAGGAAGACGAGGTCACCCTGAAGGAAGGCGAAACCATTGAAGTGATCCATAAATTGCTCGACGGCTGGTGGGTTGTCAGGTGAGGCCTTGAGAAAGCTCATGTATTTATTTTATTTAGAGCCCAGTTTTCTGTCAGGAAGGAACTTGAGGGGTATTTATGGAGAAAACTGATGTGCTGCCTCTCCAGAGACCTGCTCAAAGTGGCTCCCAAAGTGTAACATGATAAAAATCATAAAAAGCAGGAAAAACTTTTTACACAGCAGTAAAAAACCCACAATTTTTTACACAGCATTTTTAAAAAAACCACAAACCAGTCAGAGCATCAAAATAGGATGAAACAAACAACACAGCCTAAAACGATCCTCATCGGGTAGAACTAGATCATAAAAACCACTGAGGCCCTGTTCACACACCGAATTTGCTGCGGGAGAGCCACGAATGTTGGGCAGATGTTCCAGGTGCGATCACACCGCAACATCTGGCGGGCGTAGCGCACCTGTGGTCAACCCGTGGCGTCCCACTGAAAATGCGCGGTTAAAAAGTACCTGCGCAAAAGTATTGGTGAATGGTTTTGCCACGGGCTACCGACGGACTCCTTCCGTGTGATCGCGCCAGCGCGGCTTTTCCCTCCGGCCGTCTTCGTTGAAGCGCAGACGCCGAGGGACGGAACCGTGGTGTGCCGCCGACGCGTCTGATTGCGTTCTGGCGGGTCTAACTGCGCCCGCCCAAATAGCCGCGCCTCCCCCCCCCTCGTTATCTGGCCCGTGTGACTGGGGCCTGAAAAGATCAAACCTAAGTTTACATGGGATCCCCAAGTTTCTCTCATAGCTTGGCAATGACCAGACCTTGCCCCCCTTAACTTCAGTGGCTCGGCTGCCCCTGGTGCTCTCCAGCTATGCCCTGGGGCCACTCTCGCAAAAGGGCAGCCTTATCAAGACATCCATCTCCCCTGGTTTCCCTCCATCATCTGCTAATTGGAGGTGTCCCGCTTCTGAATACAGAGGGTCCATTTTTGTCTGCTGATAGACCCATATGTGTGTCAGGCCATTTCCCAAAGCTGCTTTTGCCAATACCAAGGGATTATTAAAACACCAAGGGGACTAAAAATACTGTGTGAGAAAAAAAGTACTTCCTTTTATCCATCTGAACCTCCCGTCATTGGTTAATAATCAGGCATTTGTACATTACAGGCCACAGAACTAGGAAAAGCATATATATGTTCGTACTCGTCTTTTGGTGTCTGTCTTTTCTCCCCTCTGGCACTAAAAAGCAGGCTGCAGGAGGTGTGGGAAGGATGGGGGCCCAGTTTTGGTCTATGAAACAATACGGGAAGAGTTAGAAGTCCTCTTTTTCCAGGGTCAGACAGCCCTGATCTACATCAGAGCCCACTGTAGGGTTGCCAAGTCCTTTGTACTCACTGGCGGGGGACTGTCTGTTGGCTCCGTGAGTTGCCACAGGACCTGTGCGCGCGCGTGCGCACCGGCTGCACATCACAGGAAGTGACGCACGACGTAGAGCACGTTGGGGGCGTGGCCCCGATCGGCAGAGGGGAAACCTTAGAGTTTGCCCTCTGCCGATCGGGGCCACGCCCCCAACGTGCTCTACGTGGTTGCGTCACCTCCGGTGATGCAGCCACGCTGCGCTTCGGGGGGCGGGGTTCCCCCCGGGCCCCGATTCCGCGGCGGTGGAAATCGGGCCTCCAAAGCGGGGGTTTACCCGCCCCCCGCCCCCACTTGGCAGCCCTAGCCCACTGTGGCTACATTTGAGGGCCAAATCACATATCTGAAGTAGAAATCACAGATTTCTAACATCAGGTGTACATCTGGCCCTTAGAGACTTTTGTTTGGTGTGTGGATCCCAAGCTTCTTGACCCTAACGTGCCCAGAAGAGTGGGGATGCTACTGTGATTAATCCAGTAGCACCTTAAAGACCAACCAGATTCCCAGGGTACAATCTTTCGAGAGTCAAAGATCCTTTCATCAGACACCAGGGAGCTTTGATTCTTTAAAGCTTATACCCCGATAGTGTTGGTGGACTCTAAGGTGCTACCCGACTCATTTCCTCTCTCTCACTGTAGACCAATGTGGTTACCCACCTGAAACTACCTTCTGTGACGGGTTTCACCCCGAACAGTTTCTGTTCCTTGGTCTTGTGTGTCTCTAATGTTGCCGCTTCTTCAATCACAGGAAAGATGAAAACACGGGCTACTACCCTTCCATGTATCTGCAAAAATCGGGGGAAGAAAGCACACCAGAGAAGACTCAGCTGAGGAACAGGGAAGCGCCACCCAGAAGGTAGCGTGGAGAAAAGGGGAGATGCAATGTCCGTGCTGTGTTGTGGGTACGGGGATGGACACTAAGGGTGTGGCATATGCTAATGAGTTATGCTAATGAGTTCCTGCACCTCTTTTTCTATGAAATGACCCCTGGTGGAAATAGGCCCAGGTTCAAATCTGTACCCCACCGCATGTCAGGTCCAACAGTCAAACAAATGGAGCACAGTCTTCCAAGACGCATATACTTTATTGTCAGTACTATCAGTCAGGAACACAAGCACTGTTAGGAATGAGTAAAGAGGGAAAGCTTACGGAGATATACAGAGTTCAAACGACCCCCCCACACACACCCCCTTGGCCAATCGGCCTGATTCGCAGGCGGGAAGGAATAACTGATGCAGCTGAGCTGGGAAAGGAAACCAGTCACACGGTTGATTAATATGAAGACACTACAACTAGACAGTGGTACAAGGTTACAGGTAACAGGAGAGGCAAGCAGGGAAAGGAATGCGGCACCCAGTCGTACACAGGTCAGGCGGGGGCCCCCTCAGTCCATAAACCATATGGCAGCGTAGAAATTTTTCAGTAGCTGACTTTGGCCCACTCATTTTCTCATCGCCCGGATCTACTTCTTAGAGTTCTTGTGAGGATAACAAGGAGGAACAATGATTCGGGAGGACATTGACTTACTGCAGAGGCTTGACTCGCTCCAGCTCTTGGTTGTGGGGGAAGTCATGGGCGTTGCCTCCTGCAGTCATGAAGTCGTCAGTTGCCTCCAAGCCAGATCACTGTAGCATCGCCGTAAGGGCTCCGCTGGGCTGTAGCTCAGGCAGAGGTGACGGGTGTAACCTCAAGCTGGCCCTGCGTGTACCAATCTAAACGCCTTCAAGGAAAGGCGGGCCACGAAATGGGATCAATTCGGTCGACCAAACTATCCAGACAGCAGGTCTCCAATGCTCCCCCTAAGCTGTGGAGTCCTGGGAGCAAAAATTCAACACTGTAAGCTACTGGCACTAAAGTTCGAGCGATTTGGCTACTACATCAGTTAGTTTGCTCGGGAGCCACCCTTCCTGTGCTCAGACAAAAATGTGCGAGCAGGGAGGCTAAAAAACTGTGAGCTAGCTCACACTCAGCTTAGAGGGAACACTGCAGGTCACTTAGTATTCAAGGTCTGGATGCCGCGGTCTATGAACAATACCACCCTCTTAAAAGCTTGGTTCGAGCAAGACCGCTAGGTGCCGAATCTCTGCAGGGAGGAAGTTCCAGAGAGGAGGTGCTATAACTGAGATGCCCCTGTCCTTGGTAGCCACCCACCAAATTTCCCGAGGGCTTCTTCATAAGAACGCAATAGAAAGGCAGATATATATGGCACCATCAGATGGTCCTTCAAGCGCCTTGACCCCATAATGACTGGAGCTTTCAAGGTGACGGACTGCCCCATGCATTGTACCCTGAAGGGAAGAACTGGTCAGAGAAGCTCTTTTAAAATGGAAGAGAAGGCGATGACCCCAGTCATGTATATCAGTTGGCCATCTTTCTTCTGTATTTTGATTGGGAATTCAAACCTCTGAAGCACCTTCTCTTTCTGTCTCCCGGTAGATCCACCATCCGGAACATCAAGAGCATTCACAACCAGAACCGCAAGCAGATCAGCCAGGAAACTTACAGGAGAAACAGCGTCAAGTACATGCAGGGCAGAAGGAAACTGAAGAACAACTTCCTGAACAAAGGGGGCACTATCGGTAAGTTCTGCCTGGGGCTGTAGAGTTGCCAACTTCCAGGCGGGGCCTGGCATTCTCCCAGAATTGCAACTCTTCTCCTGACGACAGAGATCAGTTCTCCTGGAAGAAATGGCAGTTTTGGAGGGTGCACTGTAGGGTGCACCCTGTTCTCCCCAGGCACCCCCCCGTTCTCCCCAAAAACTCCCCCTTCCTCAAATCTCCAGGAATTTCTCCACCTGAAACTGTGGCAACCTAGCAGGGGACCAGTTCCAACCTTGTTCATGTCTGGTTTTAAACTGTTTGTAGGTTTTACATTGTTTGCAAGCTGCCCTGAGCCGCTTCGGCGGGAGGGCAGGGTAGAAATGTAATAAATAAATAAATTGAATAGGTGTCCTTTGAAAAGTGTAAAAAGGCAGCAGATTGCAAACATCGTGAAAGGGCTGTACCCAGGGTTACCAACCTCCAGGTGGTGGGAATCTAAAAACAACATCTGTGACAAAAGTAACGAAGAGTCAATAAAGATATGTTGCAAAATCATTTACTGTAGTAATTCTGTAGAAAATTCTCTTCTATTATAGCTCGCACGCGAACGAATGTTGCGCAATGTAAACAATTCGTTTCACAATATTTGCTTTATCTGAGCGTGTAGCAATCACAATTCTTATCAATTACTACTTATTGGGCGATTTCTCACTTGAACTGCCTCTCAGCGCAGCGCCGTTTGCCCCAACACAAACATGTCAATTTCACACCCGAGGCTGCGGGGCTGCATTTGACCCGCAGCTTCGCCCAATTTCCTCCGCAGTTTCATGGTCCTCAAAAACCAGGATCACGAAACTGTGGAGGAAATCGGGCGAAGCCTCGAGTCAAAATGCAGCCCCGGAGCTTCGGGTGTGAAATTGACACGTTTGTGTTGGGGCAAACGGCGCTGCGCTGCGAGGCAGCTCAAGTGAGAAATCGCCCAATAAGTAGTAATTGATAAGAATTGTGATTGCTACACGCTCAGATAAAGCAAATATTGTGAAACGAATTGTTTACATTGCGCAACATTCGTTCGCGTGCGAGCTATAATAGAAGAGAATTTTCTACAGAATTAGGCAGCTCTAGTGAGAAATCGCCCAGTGACTCTTGAAGGAAACATTCCATGTTGACTGTCTAATAACAGAACCCAAGGTCTGAAGGTGGACTTTGGAAGGTGGACTCTATGGCATTATAACCCACTGAAATCCCTCCCCTACCCAAACCCTGCCCTCCTCAGCCTTCACCCCCAAAATCTCCAGGTATTTGCCAACCTAAAGCTGGCAGCCATAGCTGTACCTCAGGCCAAAAGATCACATATAACGCTTCAAGTATTTTTCAGCCCATTTCTCACTGAAGACTAGGTTGTCGTCTAGCCTCAAAGTACAGATTATGTTTGTCCTTTCTGTATGGAAGATTTGGCTGTTTCTCCAGGCAAAGCTGTTGAAAATGTTTGCTGTGGAACCCAGAGACTGATTTCTCTATCTTTATTTTATAGCGGAGGATGAACGAGAGGCACAGCCCGCCATCCCTCCAAGACCCAGCAAGGACTTGATTCTGATCCGCTGCTCAGAGAGCACCAAGAGCAAAATCAAATAAGGAGAGCAGTGGCTGCGTGGTTGTTTTTTGCCCTGGGCAACATCTCGAAGGAACTCAGTGGCCACAGTGGAATCCGTAATGTTCTTGGCTCATGCGACAGTATGTTCTACAACATCACATCTATTCTTTTGGGTTTTCAGTAGTATATATCACCTGTTTTCTCTCTTGGTAACATGAATATAAATCAGCGCGATTCACTGAGTATGTCTTTCAGAGTTTTCCTCCCTTGTCTTGAGTTTTCATTGAATTCGTTTTATGAATGTCTTGAATCTTCATAGAACGGTGCAGAAACTGATGCTGCCTGACCGTACACAGGGCTGACTTATCCATTAGGCACAGCAGACTCAGTGCCTAGGGCCCACAAAAATGTCTTAATTTCTTTTAAAATCAGAAGGGGGGAAAAATGAACTTTTAGGGTCGAATAAAATGTTTTAATTTTCCCCCCTCACATCAGGAAGAAAATGGAACATGTAGGGCCCACAAAAATCTAATTTTGCCGAAAACAGAAAAATAATGTTGAAGTATTTAAAGTTATATCAAATATAATTTTTAATATGCATATTATTATGGCGGGTTAGAAGTGGTTCTATAAACCCCAGATTTATAGTACGTTTTAATTTTGATCAATAAATACTAGCTAGTTGAACTCAGATCCTTACATTTATACAAGATGGTTGCTAACCCAACTGTATTATCAGAAAACATGGTAAGAGTTTTAAATAGTTAAGTTTTAGATAGGTATACTGATTAGAATATCAAGAATATTGTTAATATTAAATAGTTTGTATTGTCTGGGTTTCTCTGTATCAATTGTTTTATATTTATTTAATAAAAGTTATTACATTAAAAATATATATATGAGTAACGAAGTATTCCCTCTATTAACAATGTTTTCCTGTCAGCAAGGCTGTGAAATGAGGACCACGCACAGGCTAGGTTAGTCTTCCTGCATGTATTGGGGTGAGAGGGAGGAGAGACAGGAAAATGTAACTTTAAATTTTTTTAAACAGACACAAATGGCCTAATAGGCACTGAATGTGCTTATCGGAGTCAAAGAATGCCAGGGGCAATACAGCATCCTTGAGAAATAGGAAACAGAGAAATCGGCTTTGTCATGGGGCGGGGTGGGGGGGGACTTCCCAGTCCCTCCCCTCAATTTCTCATAGCTATCCAACTTGCAAAAATAATAATGCTCACCACATACTTAAAAAAAAATGTATAACATTGCTTCTTTTGTACAGCATGTATTGGATAAACAGGACCTTGGTATGTGTGCAGTTTATGATATGGCTGCAAATGTTTTATAAATAAACAGGCTGATGGGAAAGCAACCTTTTCCAACTTCTTTCAAGGAAGGAAGCCTTGCTTTCGGTAACTAGCAACAGTTGCACCAGAAAGGAAATCCTTTGGGGTAACTCTCTGCCTGCGGTGGCTCCTGTGACTCACTGCGGTGGCCGCAAAGGCCGCTTGCGTAAGACTGCGGACTGCGAGGGATGTACAAACAGCTCTGCAGAAGGGCTGCTGCCTGCATGTGTTAGCCGTTCTGTCTCCGTTTCGTGATACAGGGATAAATAACACTGGCCTACCTATTCAGAGCCTCCTTTGTCACATGCACAAAGTGTCGTTCTCACTTGGCAAATACATGCAGGTATGGCTATCATGAAAAAAATGTAAGCCGCCGGGACACTTGTGCGAAAACTCAAGATCGTGACCATTCACAACCAGAGGCAACAGCATCACCTCCCTAGTTTTGCGAAGCTCAATGAAGCCCTGTGTTTGTATTGATTGACAACTGACTTTGCTCCCTCCAAATCTAAAGTGGCTTTCAATGCCTAGACCAGGGGTCTCGAACCTTTTAAAGCATGTGGGCACATTTGAAATTCTGAGACAGTGTGGTGGGCACAGCACAAAATGGCTGTCACAGGAGGCAGAGTCAGCCACAAAATGGCTGCTACATCTTACTTTTGGCCACGCAGTGAAGATCCTCGTGCTGTGGTGGCAACTAGTGCCAAAGCAATGTTCACTTAGTTCCACTCTGGGATTGCCATCCCCCCACAATGGGGATGGGTTTCCCCCACTTTTGGGGACCCCAATCTGCCGCTGACCAGCTGGCCGACAAAGGAGCCCTGCCCCCAAAGAGCTCTGTTGTGCCCAACGCGCCCGGCACAATGACGTCCCCCAGAGGTGACGTCATTGTGCTGGGGACGTTGTGTGGGGGACACTCTGGCATTTGGGTGAAAACTCTATGGTGTCCATAGAGTTCCCCCCCCCCAATGCTAGCACATCCCCTGAACAACATGCCCACTGTGATGATGTCATTTCCAGGTGGTGTCATTGTGCTTCACATGTGCACCAGAAGACCCCAGGAGCTAGGCTGGAGCCCCCTCCCTGGTACACAGGAAAGACCTGGCAACCTACCCCGCCCACTTTCTAAAAACACTTGACGGGGTGCCAGGAAGGTTTCGGCAGGTGCCATGGTGCCCACGGGCACCACATTGGAGACCCCAGTGGAATCAAGCTTCCCGAATAGCTTTAGTTGATCACCTCTCCTTCTTCTTCTTTTCCACCCCCCCCCCCAAACTCCTTTATTGTGTGGATTAGCAATATACAATGCAATTGAGAAAATACAGATTTCATGTCAGGAGTTGAGGATCCTGAAAGCCTGAAATATTCTCCATCTAGTTTTTGAATGCCCCTGTTTTTTGTGTCAGCTAAGCCAGAAGAGGGCCACCAGGATGGTGAGAGGGTTGGAATCCATGTCTTATGAGGAAAGGCTGAAAGAGTTGGGTATGTTTAGCCCTGGAAAGAGAAGGCTTAGAGGGGACATGATTGCAGTCTTCAAATATCTGAAGGGCTTTCATGGAGAAGATGGAGCAGATCTATTCTCTCTTGCTCCGGATTGCAAGACTAGATCTAATGGGTGGAAATGACAAGGGAGTCGATACCGGCTAAATATCAGGAGAGACTTCCTAACTGTAAGAGTGGTTAAGCAGTGGCACAGACTGCCTCGGGAGGTGGTGGATGCTCCTTCACTGGACGTTTTCAAGCGGAGGCTGGACGACCATCTTTCGGGTATGTTGTAGGGCTGTCTTTCGGCTATGCTCCTGCAGAGTGCAGGGGGTTGGACTAGATGACCTGCAAGGTCCCTTCCAACTCTGACATTCTATGAGTCTAAGCTTGGTTTCTGTTTTTAAACCCTGTTTACTGTGTAGCGCCAGAGGCTGCCTCCTTTGCTTTTTTATTGAGAAATCAGAAATATAAGAAAAGGAGGCTGAAAACATCCTTGGTGTCACCAGCAATGTTCCCTCTAAGATATGGAGTCTTATTAGCAAAAACTCTACTTTGTGAGCTACTGGCATTAAAGTTGTGAGCGAGTGATTTGGCTACTGCATAAGTTAGTTTGCTCTGGAGCCCTCCTTCCTGAGCTAAGGCAAAAATGTGTGAGCTGGAGGCTAAAAAACCGTGAACTTAGAGGGAACATTGGCAGGCTTTGGGGAAGCTCGCCTGGCTGCAACGACCGCTTCTTCGGTTGAAAAGGGGATTTTGACTGGGAAGGGTTATGAAATGCCATGCTGCTTATCCCAACACTAACTAGCGTGTGACTTTGAGCTTCAGTGGGTTGGAATTTCGGGGCCACCTGACTTGGACCGAAGTCATCAGAGCTGGCTGGATCTACCCAGGAAGGACACAAACCATCCCTTGTTGTGAAACCCAAGAAAGCCCATTAGGGTGGAGCCCCTTCCGCTGATGACTTTTCAAGCAACTGAACTTGGAGATTTTTGTGTGTTAATCCAGTGGCGAGGCTGATTGTCAGATCTGGGAAGCTAAGCAGGGCTGGCCCTGGAGGGGATTTGGGTGGGAGACCACCAAGGAAGGCCAGGATCGCTCGCCGCACACAGGCAGGCAATGGCAAACCACCTCTGTGGTCTCTTGCCTTGGAAATCTTGCAGGGTTGCCGTAACTCAGCTGTGACTTGGCAGCATCCCCCCCCACCCCGTACATTTGAAGCACTCACAGAACAGATATGGGAGGGAGTTGGAAAAAGAAGAAGAGATTGGATTTATACCCCGCCCTTCACTCAGAGTCTGAGCGGTTTACAAACTCCTTTCCCTTCCCCTCCCCACAACAGACACCCTGTGAGGTAGGTGGGGCTGAGAGAGCTCTTTCTTGACCTGCTCTTGAGAGAACAGCTCTGAAATAACTTGTGACTGGCCCAAGGTCACACCAGCAGCTGCAAGTGGAGGAGTGGGGGAATCAAACCCGGTTCTCCCAGAATAGAGTCCACGCACTTAACCACTACACCAAACTTTGCCACTTGTTTTTAATTACTGTATGTTGGATATGTTTTTTATGTTTTTAGAACTTTGTACATCACCTAGAACCCCACAATTGTGAAGACAGGCAATTAATAAATAGAATGTAGTAGTTGTAGTAATAATAATAATAATAAAAACATGAACCTGGGACCTGCACACCACCAGAATACAGCAGGTTCCATATGCAACTGACATTCCAACTGCCTTGGGGGGGGGGAGTTTGAGGTGTGGAATGGAGTGAAGTCCAATCAGCTTCCATATGCAAAAGACCAGGTTGTCGCAGCAGTTGTGGTGTGGGCGGGACCCGGGCTTTGCCTTCTGATTGGTGGCGATATATGCTGAGGAGCAGTGCCATCAGCCATACACTGGGAGTGCATTTTAGAATTAGAACTTTGGCACCCACTATGCAATTATATATAAGGAGAGATTATTATTAATATTGCCAACTTGCAGGTGGAATCTGGAGATCTCCCACTATTACAATTGATCTCCAGGTGACCAAGATCAATTCCCCTGGAGAAAATGGTTGCTCTGGAAGGTGGACTCTGTGGCATTATATCCTGCTGAGGTCCCTCCCCTCTCCATACCCTGCCCTGTCCAGGCTCCACCCCCCAAAAATGTCCAAGTATTTCCCAACCCAGAACTGGGAACTGTAATGTATTCAAAGCTGCCTTGAATGCATGATCTGCTGTGAATCATCTCATCAGGAAGAAATGTTAAGCTTCATCCTGGGCTAGGATCCAAATACAGCCAATGACATCGCTAGCCCAGGAAAAGTGTATCCAATCACTTCAAGCAAGTCCCCGAACGGGAACGATCGTGATTGGCTCTTATGCGCTCAATCGTATTGGTTGTTATGTGTATGATAGGCGTGGCTATATTAGCCGGGAATGTTTAAAAGCAGGACAGCTGCTATGTTAAGGCCGTTCTGGCTATCAGATGTTGATCCGTGTTGGAGAAGTATTCGAGTTGAAGAATAAAGTTGTGTTCTTGCTGAAATCACTCTCCAACTATTTGTTAAGCCCAAGACTTAACAATTGGCGACGAAGGTGG